AACTTGACAGAAATCGAGAAATTTTAATTTTGGCTCCAGATTATGGATATTGATTGTTTTGATACGAAATGCACCCCACCGATCATTAATCAGAGTCTTTCCCTTACTCACGGATTACGAATTAATCACTTTTCTTGCAAAATTTTAGCATAATGTTGCTCATTAATCCTAATTCAACCCCAACTAAAATATCATATTATAAAAAGAAAATAAAAATTTGTGCGAATAATCTCAGCCAATAGAAACTTGGAAAATTAGTAAAATCCTGTCCACACAACGTATTTACCAATTAAGATCGTTTTAATAATCAAATAATAGGGCCAAAATAGCATATTGTTAATAAATATTATTTATTTAAATTTATAGTAATATCTGGTATGATCTTTGTTTGGTTAATCTTTAAATAATCTATGTAGGATTGAATATCTGCGACGGTAGCAAAAGGCCTATTAAATAAACATACATGTATTAGTATTACTGTTAAAACTAGAAATCTGAAACGACTTCAATTTTAAAGCTACAACCTAACAAAATCTAGAGGATGTTCTTTCTTTAGCAAATTAGCTAATACCCTTGCAGGTCCAAATAATATGAAGTTATTAATGCCATGTTCTTTACAATATCTTATACTTTTATGCCATTGAACAATGGCAGTTACTTGTCGAACTAGAAGAGAAGGTATCTCAGATATTGATTGTATCTGTGCATTATATTTAAGTTCAATAAGGAGTATTGAGCAATAAGTAAAACAAATTAATGAAAATGCTTCATATACCGGATTGGCTGTGACATTTGATATAATATCAACGATTGGTTTCTTAAATTTGATATCACTCATTGCTTTTTGCATTACGTTTGCAGCTGGCTGCATTAATTTACAATGAAACGGCGCTCTTGAATTGTAACAAACAAAAAAAAAATCAAAAAATATATAATATCATTAGGAATTTATAACGAGAAAAAAAAAAATAGTCAATCTTTTCTATAATCACACCTCATGGGCCAAAAGGTTCAATAATGTGATTGTAAAAAGGACTTTTAATAAGCTTATTAATAGTTTGTTCCAAACTAAGTGTGACTATAAAGGGTTGACTGTATATAATAATACTCACGATACAGGAAGGTCCAAAGCACGTGCAGCAAGATGCTGTGACTGCAAAACCCGCGATGCATAATCTACGGCTTTACCTGTTCCACTAATGACTGCCTACCACACATAATGGGAATTATATTATGCAATTAGAATCTTGGAAGGTCATAGATATAGATGCTGGTGAAACTAAATAACGCTGGTGAACTGGTGACTATCTAAAATCTTATTGGCTGTTATATTAAATTTCACCAATTTCACCAGTTTCACCACCATTTTCCAAGAGTTTCACCAGTTTCACCAGCATCTATAGTCATAGAGACCAATATTTTACTACATAATCAAACAAACCTGAAAAGACTAAATTAAATATTAAAAGGCCTGTATGAATAATGCGATTAAAATTGCTAAAGAAAAATTTACATAATTTACGCACGCTATTAATATTAGCAAGTTCTACAGATTCACCCTCTGGTAAGTTAGAGCAAATTTCATCTATCGAAGCTTGAAGTTTGGCCAAGTTTTCTTCACGAACAATCAAAGCGGCCATGGCTGTTTTGACTCCTAATTGAGAAACCGTATTTGCCATGGCTTCGCCACGAAGTCTCTACAAATATTTAAAATTTAAAATTTATTGCCATTAAAAAATTCATTTATTTTTAAATTCTTACAACAAGCTTAACAGCGTCACGTAGTGATAACGACTGAGTAGCAACCAAAGCCGTATATTCTCCTAGAGAGTGTCCAAGTGCATACGTGCAAGCAGATGAAACATCAAACCCATATTCACTCTTTATCAAAAAAAAAAGAAAACTCTTAATAATTCACTTAAAATGCAACTTTGAAAGAGATATCAAACGTTTACCTCTAAGACTCGAAGAGTGGCTATAGATGTCGTCAATATTGCAGGTTGTGCATTTTGTGTTTGATTCAGATCTTTCTAATATTGCGACGATGGTGATTTGAAAACATTCTTATATCAAAAAAAATAAAATAAAATAAAAAAAATAAATATATAAATAAAAGATTACCTGATCACCTTCAAACACTAATTTTGTCAAATTTAATCCTAATGCATCATCAGCTTCTTCAAATACTTGACGTGCAGAAGGAAAATTCGAATGAAGATCTTTACCCATCCCAACGTACTGAGCACCTTGTCCTAGAAAGCGAAATTTTTGTGAATATAATATATAGAATGCTTCAAAATGTTATTACAGTGAACTCTCGATATAGTGAATGTTAGGTATAACAAAAAATCTTAAATTTATTATCAAGCTTCAGCTCGACATAATTATTTAGTAATCTCTCGACATAATTTATTATTTTTTTTTCGTTTCACTATAATGAGATTCACTTAGACTATGTGTAAGATAGTAAACAAATATTTCCTAAACATACACGATACCTGGAAACAAAATAGCACATTGTGATTTTTCAAGCCCGGATCTGTTCTGTCAACTTTTAAATGTTAAACGCCTTTGAAACACACAAAGCGATTTCGTTAATAGTCGACTTACCATCGCAGTTCGAATTTGAACTGCCTGTAAGCTTGAAAAAACCAAGCTTCGGCTGTGAGCTCGAAAGAATGCAATTGCGAACATTTGAATAAAATTATGAGAAACAGTTACTGATATTTCTCATAGACTTAGCGTTAGTAAGATCTTAAGATTTAATCAATCTTATCGGTTATCAGGTGACATACATAAATAAAATTTCCGATTGGCTAATTGATATCCTATCATCGCGATATCAAATCGGTAAATAAATGTACAGTCAGACCTCTCTATAGTCACCTCCTCTATAGTCACATTTGCTTATAATCACATAAATTTTTAAGAGAATTGCTAATTTTCACCGGAGGTAAAATTCACCGGGGTGCTATATCTCAAAAACGTACTAGCTAACACCT